ATGTACATATATTTTATTTTAAATGTTAGCCATGCCTTACTTCTGTATGAGGCACAATGACAAGTTGTTATGTACTAAGCCTTATAAGACGTAGTAAAAACTTGTCAAAGAAAAAATCGGTTGTTCTAGGCCTTTTCTGGACACAATATCTTTCCTCGAGATCAGCGCGACCTATAAATTGATTAACTAGTCAATATAAAAGAAAACGTAAATCGAAATTATTTTAATTGACGCCAAGCCCTACTCCACTATAGTGACAGTAAGTGGTCATTTAGTTAATATATATATATATATATATATATATATATATATATATATATATATATGTGTGTGTGTGTGTGTGTGTGTGTGTGTGTGTGTGTGTGTGTAAACAATCATTGTGTACAAATTCATAGCGCATAAATGTACTTTTGTAAACCAGCAACACTGTCCATTCGTTGTTTATTTTTCAGTTACTACAACACGTTAAACTGCCGTTCGGCAAAGACATCCGGAGGACATGGGAGCCAAGATTGAGGCATTTACAGCTTCTACACAGGTGCTCCTCAAAGGAAAAGAACGTCACTCTGAACCTCGAAGAGCTGCTTGAAGGTATACTTTAGTTGGTGTTTTTGTAATCTAGCACAAGTTTCAGACTGCGACGACGCAGAGGTTTACCTTCGTCCACCATAAATATGCTGGGTTAACTTACTACATCATTACGAACTGATGACCGCTTATCGGGGCCATTCGTTTAAGACAGGGTTAACTTATACTCAGAAACAACTTCTGTGGCGTTTCTGAAGTGAAGAGTGCGTGTGCATAGCCTTGATTGCTTAAGATGCGCGGGCGTTTTTAACTTCGACTACACATTGCCAAAAAAGTTGCCCAAGTCACCCCCGAGTATAGTGCATTGTCACAGATGGTAATGCAAACTTGTCAGGGTTATATCTTCAATATACGAGCTAGTAATATAAAACATATCCTTGCTTTATTTTCTAAAATTAATATAGAGGAAATATAAGCGACTAAAGTCAATGACAGGTTAAGAAAAATCTAAAAGAAGAAAGCCGATGGACGCTTGAAATGGAGAGAAGGTTTCTCCTCTCCCCTACAAGCTTCTGTCCGCTTCCTCCTCTCCAGCTCGTAGATTTTTTCTAAACCTGTTACTGACTGTAGGGCAAGAAGGATTAAATATGGGTAGAACCAACGTTTCTAGAAACATGCTTAAAATTCCTGTGCATCTACTTCCCGCAGAACACTCGAGAAGCCAATCACACCAATCCACGAAGAGAGCTCGGCGAATAAAAAGGCCAAAGCATGTTTAGACATATGAATGAAGCGAGAGATGTCACTGAGCATGGCGGTTCACGTACTGACTTCATGCTCAGTGTCACGTTACAGACTTCATTTTTAAGTCAAACATATTTTCAGCTTCTCCATTGGCCGAGTTTTCTTCGTAGATTGCATTGATCGGCCCCTCGAGTGGACGCACGGGCATTTTTAAAAGCAGAGAAAATTCGGTGGCACGTTGGGCATTGTTTTACGTGTGTACTGCACATATATTGTAATTCATTGACTTCCGATCTTCTTCCTTTACTACTTCTTGGATGGAAAGGGAACGCTTGATGCTGCGTACCATTTTTCGCTTTTACACATTGTTGTAGCGAAGGGGGCTTCGAAGGGGACGCTTCGTCATCCGCTGGTCGCGCTCTCTAGATCGCACTGATTGACCCACTAAATGTTTTGAAGGAAATCATATCTGCGGGTATGTTTTAGAGCGTAAGGCTAAACGAGAAATAAAATGCTTAGTGAAACCTATACAATTATAATTGATCTGAAAGCGCGGCGAATGAGCAACTCGCAGCATAATAATACAGAGGAAAATACATGTGTTCATATTCTTGCTTTCTTGTTGTAGGAAGTCCGGACACTGATGCCACTCATCCATCTCCAGGAAAATGAATTTGACAACTTTTTGGACGGTGTCCTGACAGTGAGCGACATCAGAACGACAGTAGAAGCTGTGTGCACATTGCTGGCAGTGATACCCGTCTCGTCTTGAAACTGTTTCGAATTTTGTTAGCTTTTTTACTGCGAACAGAAGAATCAATTTTTGCTACTCCAATAAAGTATATGATTGGACATAATGTTTACTGTTCTGCCTGTCACCTAGTTAATTACGTACAGGAATGAAGTGTGTTGACTCTGGCCAGACTGATGTTTGTCAACCTGTCGAAAAGGCCCAGTGCTAGCGATTAATGAACAATCTAAAGACACTTTGGTTGGTAGAAAAAAATGCACCTTGTAAAGCAAGAAATACGAAATACGATTTACTAAAAATGTAAAAAGGAATGTAAAAAAAACTCATTTGTCATAAAAGAGGGTTAGAAGTACAAAATATGGTTTACTAAAATAACGCCAACATAATCTAAAGAACTCGGGATTTATTAAAAGAACCAAGGAGGGTTCCAAATAAAACATGAAATAGGGTTCATAAAGAAAAACCAAAGAAGGAACCGTAAAGAACCTCGAAAAAAGGTTCATTATGAGCACGAAAAAGGGTTCTGGAAAGAACCCAAATGGGGTTCATTAAGAAGAACCAATAAAGGATACGAAAAGAACCCTGAAATAGGGTTTATTTAGAGCACCAGAAACGGTTCTGGAAAGAACCTGAAATAGGGTTCATTAAGAGCACCAGGAACGGTTCTAGAAAGAACCCGAAATGGGGTTCATCAAGAGCACCAAAAAGGGTTCGGGAAAGAACCCGAAATAGGGTTGATTAGGAAGAACCAAAAAAGGATCCTAGAAGAACCCCTAAATAGGGTTCGTTAAATAGAACCCAGAAGCGTTCTGAAAAGAACCAAAAATAGGGTTCATTAAGAAGAACCAATAAACGATCCGAAAAGAACCCCGAAATAGGGTTCATTAGAAAGAACCCTTTTTGTGGGTTCTTTTCTGCACCTTTAAGGGTGCCGCCCATTGGACAAGCGAAAGAACCCTAAAAGGTGCTAGTTGGCACGCTTTTTTCTTAGAGTGTAATAAGCCCCAAACGCAGTGTAACAGACTGGACCAACCAGCACTGGTGTCGGGAAACGTTTACAACTGAGCTCATATTGATTGGCATGGTCTGCCCACAATAAAGTGATATTCTCCGCCCACGAGCGAGTCCACATAGACGCTTGCTGGCGGCTCACCAGTCCGGCGTGTAGCAAGATTAATCATCCCTCAATGTCCTCCTCGTTGCCATCTTTTATTGTGCTAATCAAAAATTACGAACGTCAGCCCTTAAAAATCAAACAAGCCTAAAAAATTCCATTATGCTTTATACTGGTGTCCATCTCAAGAAAAACGGAAGCTTTGCGCATTGTTCATACGCCGTGCGATGTAGTTCTTACAAGATTTGGTTGTCAGGAAAAGAAGCGATGCTTTGGTTGTTTGAAGCGTGTGCGTCTCGATAAGACAACTTTTATTCAATCTAAAACGCTCCTACTTATATCTTAATTATCTACATAAAGGTGGAAATTAGTAATGCTCCGCAAGGATCCGGACTATTTTTTTTTTTCTTGACTACGGCTTTTGAGGTGAAAACGAGTACAGTCCATTTCATCAACCTCACGCCTTGTCCTTTGCGGCAAACAGCGAACCATGAGATCACTTAATAAGAATTGACTCCGATTGAATGCGCTCTACTGAATTTATCGCGGAAATATGAATGTACGAATAACTTTGCGTATTATTTTCGGCTTCGTTCGCTGGTATGTGTCGCCTTAGTTAAATTATGGTTCCTAACTTTGTTTTACACGAGAGACGCGCTTCTTGTCAACATCTCCTTAACTTTTGCTGGATAACTTCTTATACGCTATATTAAAATACATTTAGGTGAATATTAAACTTTCCCGTAACCATAGAATCGCTCCATTTTCTGCTTATCGTCGCAGACGACTTAGCAGGGTGTGGCATGCTATGCTCGGGTTTCCTCACTGGTCCCTGGGGGTTTTTACCGGCTCATGCCCCAATCTGATTGGCTGCTGAGCGATAATGAGATGCTCGCGTTTCGCCATGCCCCGCATTTCTTAACTTGTCAACCATATAGTAGGATTTCAAGGCATCGATTTACCATCGTGACCAAAAATACTTTTTGTTTGTCTGTGTCAAGGCGGGAAAATTGCCCCTAAGGAAGATAAACTGTAAAGTGCATTGCATTTCGAAGCACTAAAATAAAGACGCAAGAAAAGGAATGATTAAGCCTTGCCGATTAGAAGAATCGTGTCTTCTTGAAATACAGCCGAACTACGGGGATGATGTCAAATTATTAATGAAGCGTAGTGATGACCATGCCAGCTAAACAAGATTCAAAATGGTATTAACACAGACAGATGGAGTGAGTCGCGAGTAAAGGTCTAAATACTTCGTAATAAAATAGGAAGGGGATATTTTGCCAACGGCTGTACGTCGAGGGTACACAGCTAAAACTATAAACCTTTTTCTTTTTGTTCTCTTTGTTTACCATATTAAAGAGAGCATAGAAACAGCGATATAAAAGCAAAAGTGCACGCCGCTGGGAGCGTGTGGCGGAATTTCGAGTTTAATTTGCGTCGGTTTCCACGAGGCCGCAACTTTGCGAAGTGCGTCCGAGGGCCACGTTCCTCTTTATTTCCGGGATCGGAGCAACAGAGACGTTTAACAGAAGCTACCCGCAACTTCACTCTCTCTAAACGCGGGCTCAAAACGCGCCGTAAGAGCCCGCACCAGCCGCCACGCACAGCACTTCTTATAAGCGCTCCGCTTCCAAGAAGAACGGAGAGGGGGTCCCATAGCGGAATACAAGCAACCCCAACTCTAGAAGAACATCTGGCCGAGTCGTGCCAACACAAGACCGCTCTCTTGTCAGTCCCTCTGCTCCGAAAAAGAGGCAACGACGCGATGAACCCCCGTTCTCGGAACGTACTAACCGAGAAAAAAAAGTTATATATATAAAAAAAGAATGAAACAAGAAAGAAATGCTTCGACTCACGTACCAGTGGCGATGCTGTAAGCGTTGGGGTACGGGCTGGACGGGAACACGGGCAGCACGTACTCTGCCCGGACGCCCGCCCTGGCCAGCCTCTCGAACCCCGTGTGGACCTCGTGATCGACATAGTCGGCGCGAACTCCCTGGACGAGCACCACGATGAGCTTGGGCCTGGTCCTGTCGCTGAGGTTGTTGTTGTCGTCGTCGCCTCCAGACCCCGTGGCACCGCCATGGGCGTCCCGCGCGGGCCGCACCAGCAGCGCCCGAACCGCGGCCGACGCCACGATCAATACCAGCACCAGAAGCAGCGGCGGCATAGGTCCCAGATTCGCCATGCCTCACGCGCGCGCTCGCTCGCCCGCTTCGTACAAGCCCGTCCCGCTGCGTCGGGAAAAGTGGACCTCTCGCCGCCGCGACGCGCTCCCTGGGCCGTCCCGAGGCCCGGATTGCCCTCCCTCCCTCCTCCTCTCCTCTCGTGCGCACCCCCTTCTACCCTCCCCTCTCTCCACAACTCCGTCCCTCGGCGAGCGATCTCTGGGATTGCAAGAGGGTGGGCGGCGGCGAGGAGAAGATGGGGATCTGGGGAGACGGGAAGGGATGGTTCTCCGACTGGGACGGCCCGCGTCGATGGAAAACCAAAAAATATAAGAAAAAAAAAAAATGTGGGATTTTTGCGGAGGGGGGGGGGGGGGGGGGGGGCTGGAAAGCCTGGGGCAGATTTTTTTCCATCTCTTCTCCCGTCGTGGCGTTGTTTGGAGCTGCGACGATTCTTCCAGTCATCCCCCGTTCTTCCTTCTTTCTGTGCCAGTAGAGCATCTACTCCATTCCCAGTGACTTTTTCTCTTTTTAACATTCTATTTCTCTATTCTTCTATTTGCGCGGCCTTTTTTTACCTTTTTTTTTTGTTGTTTAAACTGCGTTTTTCGAGGCCTACATTTTGTTCGTTGTAGCAGTTGTTGGTCCCCGTTGTGGCGCCGTGGTGGCAGTGGAAGCGATTCGGACCCGTTTTGTTTCAGTTGTGGGTCGTGATTGTTCCGAAAACGTCGCCTACACGGAGCGGGTCGTCGCTCCGATGTCGGAGATCAGCGCGGAGAGGGGAAGTCCCTCATGACGAGGATTCTGTGGCCGAGAACCGCTTCTGGGCATTTCCTTTTTCCTGTACCTTACTGCGTCGTTTTGGTTGGAGACTGTCTGTCTTCCCAGAGAGGACGGGAGGATAAAAAGCCCAGGGGGTGGGCGTCGTGTTTAAGAAGAAGCACAGCAGACCGAATCACTTCAGCGCGCTTAAGTGTGTGGGCTCGCTTTCTTTAATGGCGGATGGAGGCTGGAAAGGGGGGTCGGAAACGAGAGACGCCATGCGACGAAACAATGGGCTTATTTTTGAGAGCACGATTGGAGCGGTCTGCTTCGAGGAACGCGCACTGAGGAGCGAGGCGCCACGGAAGGGAATTGATGACCAATTTTTTTATTTGTTTTGTTCTCTTTTTACGCTAAAATAGGAACCATTGATTCGACGTTGGTCTGTACAAAAGGGCAGCAGCAAATTAAAGTTTTTTCTCGTTTTTTTGTTGTTGTTGTTTGAACACTATAATATACGTTTTTTAAACCTGCTGCCGTATTCCCCGTTCTTTCGTGGGGTGTAGGTACGTACGCTCTTCATTGAATTCAGTATGTCTATATTACGGACATATAATAATAATGCAGTTCCGAAATTTTTATGTTATTATTTTTTTTTCACTATATTGTTTTCTTTGTTTGCGTTGAATTCGAATCGACACTTCCCGAAAGCGCTCCCGGTACTGCGCTTGACGTGCCCGTACAAAATGAAAGCCGTGTAATGTATGCGGCCATTACGTTTCGGGAGTCTGTTTTCTCGATTCGTCTTTTTAATAGCGCCGCGCAAATATTCCGTAGCTAGAGCTAAACACGCGGAGTCGGAAGCACCGTGCGAGCTTCGTAAATATTGAAAGCGGCCATACCGCATGGAGCATTTGTTTATGCAGTTGCGGGACCACGGGTGGAATATGAGCTCTCCGTTTTGCCACGGAGGTCACGTGCAGAAGCGAGCGGGCGGCGCGCTATTTTTTGCCGCCCGAACGTGCCGTCATTTGGCTTCGTTTTGCGTCCTGCCACGACAGTCGTGCAACGTTATTTTTTGTCTGGGAACCTGGGAATACCTTTCCTCAAATCCGAGCGAGAGTGCCGCTTAAACAATTCATGAGCATCTGAAGGCTCGTGGGCCACGAACATCCGCAGCCACATCAGCCGCGATACCATGTTTAGGAAATGCCAGAGAAAAATGTTCGATTATATTGTGAAACAAGAAAATTGCTTCTGTAATATAATTTATTTATCCTTCTGTGCGACTCCCAATATCGGCCTCACGTGAACCCTGGTGCCATTTGCAACATAAAAAAAGTCTCTAGCTAGTGCTGGTCGTCTTGGTCGTCTCGGTTTTTTGTTGGTCTATACCAAAATGTAATCGACAACAAAAGCTGCTTGAAGCTCTGTACGTTTTTCACCTTTTACGTCCAAGCTAGTTACATTTTTTTTTGTGATTATATTTCTATTGCGTTACTAGAGCCTCACACACTAACTGCCGAGTGTGCGATGCAAAATTAAAATGAGATACCCAGAATCACGTTGCAGGTGCCCTGAAGTCGCTGACGGAAATTTTGAGGAATGTATTTGGAAAAGTTTTTGGAGAAGACCAAATACATTTGGTTGTATTTGTATATTGTACTTAAACGCCTTTTTGGAAATGTAATTAGATTTGTAATTAAATACATTTTGACGATATATTTTGTATTTGTATTTCGATGCATATTTGCATGTATTTTGCCCATCCCTGGAACAGTGATGCGTCGATTTTTTGCCACTTGGTCACGCTCTCACCCATAGCCACGAGCAGAGCAAAAAAAAAAAACAAAAAAAATTGGGTTGTGGGGATACTTATACAGCGTAAAGTTGCGACGAGTCACACGCCGTAGATGAGCAATTTAGCCAGTGCAGTACAACCGCTAGCCTGGGGCCTTTAACGTGCACCACGCAGTAGTGATACACGACCGCACGCCGGTACGATGCTCATCCAGATCGCAACGGGCAGGGGTGGGGCTCGAACCCAGGATCCCTGGGTTCTGCAGCGCGAGCTTTCGCTTTTTTTTAATTTTTTTTATTGCCGGGATATGGACATTACAAAACAGCACACCACAAGATTCGATATGCCACGCTTATCGCCTTACGTCTAACGCGGCATGTCTAAAAGGGTCCCAGGCGTGTCACATCTTCAAGTACCGATACAAACTCAGGTACGCATGGTTGAGCCTTCCACATTTCTAATATGTATTGCTTAGTTTCGCCAAAGTATTTTCTAACCTCTCTAACATCGGTATCTGCGTGGCGAACGGCCATACGGGATTTTTGTGTACTGTGGAGACCTACAAGCATCACAAGATCATATGGGACCATTGCTCTCCTCCTCTACTGCTAAAAACCTAATGCTATGCGGATTTCGCTCCACGCGCGTCGAGCTGGGTGTGCGCTTTAGCCCACTTGGACACCGATCCCCTCCACGGGCAGAGAGCGGGCGCAGATGATGAAAGGGAGGCATGCAGTTGATTGGTCCTCCGGGCTTGTATTTCCCACCGCACTGTTAGATTAGTCATGAAGAGTCACGCACCGGTTACCTAGCTGTGTTTGGAGATTTGTGTTTGTTCTTTGTCCCTCTTGTTCCCCTTCTCCAGGGATTATTTTCGTCATTCAGAGTATAGGTGGTGTACTAGCGCCGGCTTCTTAAACTTTTTTTAAATCTCTCTTTCTTGAACTGCTAAGGTTCTATTCTACAGGTGTGAAAGAACAAGTGCGCAATGTCGCATCTTGCAACTATTTTTTTTTTGCCTAAAATCTTCGCGCGTGTCTCTGTCAAGCTTTGGATAAGTACTATCAAATCAAATCAGAACAAATCAAATCTTTATTTTACAGAAAACTGGAGGGATCGCCAGACAAAAAGCTGTTAAAAAGCAGCTTGACTGGGTCTGGGATCCCTTTACATTGGCAGCAGCTTTGACACAGAAAAACATATGTTATACATACATACATACATACACTATATATATATATATATATATATATATATATATATATATATATATATATATATATATATATATATATATTTATATAATATATATATACATATACACATATATATAAAGAAGAAAAATTAAAAAAAAATCACAGCAAAAACATGCATTCAAAATCCCACTAAGCGAAGCTACCCACAGTACAAGCGGAGGTATTTTTTGTTTAACGTGTATATATTTATGCTGTTAGCTACATACTTGTTTCATAAGCACGGTACATTATAATGTAGTGACTGAAAGTTATAGTTTGTGCGAGATTGAGGAAGCACATATGTCTCTGTACTGCGTGTGGTAACATTACTTTCGTTCATTTTGAGTCCTGAATTAGTGTACCAAAAATCTACAAATGTTTGAGATGAAAAACGAATCGCACAGAGTAAACGGTATTCGTATATGCTCGCAACAGGAAGTATTCTAAATTTTGTAAACAAAGGTTCTGTGTGGTCTGTATACGAAACATCCGCAATATAGCGTACTATTTTTTTCTGCAGTAGTAGTACATTTTGAAAATTATTTTTTGTTGTTGTAGTCCACACGAGATGACAATAGTTTAAGTGAGAATGAAATAGAGCGTGGTAAATTTGTAGCTTAACCGACAATTCGAGAAAGTTTACCAACTAGATAGTTCACATGAGATTCCCACCGTCAAGTGCTCCGAAAAAAAATACACCTAAAGTTTTATGTTTATTTACTAGTTCAATTTCCGAAGAGCCAAGTTGAATAGTATGATTTACCACGATTCGTTTATTGGTAGCCCTGAATAAAATAGCCTTCGAGTTTGTTGCGTTTACGTTAAGCCGATTTACCTCAGACCATTGCGAAAACTTTTCTAGAACAGAGTTTGCTTTGCATATTACTACATTAGCATCATTGCCAGAGAAAAACAGGCTTGTATCGTCTGCATAATTAATAAACTGCGCTTCATTATCAATATTCACAATATCATTGATGAAGACATTAAACAAAAGAGGTCCTAATATACTACCTTGCGGCATGCCTTGCTGTACATTTCGAAAAGAAGAGCAATGGCCATCAATAATAACAAACTGTTTCCGATCTTGTAAATATGATTTCAGTAAAGCCAGTGGCACACCACGGACGCCATAACGATTTAATTTCGCAAGCAAAATTTTGTGATTTAAAACATCAAACGCTTTGCTAAAATCAATGAATGCACCTAATGTAATAAGTCTCTTTTCTATGTTTTGTAATATAATTTCCTTTTGAAATAACAATGCAGCTTCAGCTGATTTACCTTTTCGAAAACAAAACTGATTGTCTGTTAACACGCA